TGTCCCACCCAAGGAGTCTGGCATTAATTATGAAAACATAAACTTTGAAAGTCCTCAAACCAACAAGGGACCATCTATAAGAATTTATAAAGATTATCCTACTGAAAATATTATAAGAAATCTGAATGAAGGAGTCACCACCAGATCCAGAGATATGATTGCTAAATTGATAAATAATAAGCATAAAACATTACCAAACATGTAATGCAATGCATGATTAATAATGAATGTGATGCAAGAGAAAACCTTTCAATTTGCTTCTATGGTGTCACGACCATGTAACACAATACAATGGAATTCCCGATGTCGCATATGCATGTGCCTTGCTTAGTAACAAAAATGTCACTACTAAATCCAAAATGAAGATGTTGTCATAACATGTGACCAACTACAACAAGAAACATATTCTGCCCCGACCATTGACAAAGCTACGTAAACTTTCTTTTTACTATGTCAACTAACCAAGGATTTTGAAAACATGTAACAACTTCCACTAGTACTTTTCTTATCTGATTTGCAATCGACAAAGTCAGAATCAGAGTAACCAACCAAGCTATAACTGCTTCCCTTGGAATACTAAAGCATAAACTTAGAAGTACCAATAAGGTATCTAAGAACACGCTTAACCTCTTTTAAGTTTGATTCCTTGGGAGTCGATTGATATCATGCACACATGCAAACACTAAACATAATATTGAGCCTAGATGTCATAAGATATAAAAAAGATCTAATCATACCTCTATATATCTTGATATCAACATCCTTACCCTTTTCATCTCTATCCAAATTTCCACTTGTTGCCATAAGTGTGTCAATTTCCTTTGCATCGTCCATTATGAATCGTTTTAGTAATTCAAGACAATACTTGGTTTGATATACAAATGTTCCTTTCTTGAGTTTCTTTATTTGAAGTCCGAGAAAGTAGTTTAAATCCCCCATGAGACTCATTCCAAATTCTTCCTGCATAAGCTTAGAGAACTCCTTGACATGATGTATGCTCGTTGATCCAAAAATGATATCATTAACATAAATTTGAACAAGTAAAACATGTTTTCCTTGACATTTAATAAAGAGAGTAGTTTCTACCTTCCCTCTAGAATATCCTTGATCAAGCAAGAACTTTCTAAGTCGGTCATACCATGCCATTGGGGCTTGTTTAAGACCATACAAAACACGTTTTAGCTTAAAACATGAGTATGATACTTGTGATTTTCAAAACTAGGAGGTTGTGAAACATACAACTCTTCATTTATGTATCTGTTAAGGAACACACTTTTCATATCTATTGATATAATTTGAAGTTCTTGAAACATGCATATGCTAGTAAAAGGCGTATAGCCTAGAGTCAGGCAACCGAAGCATAAGTCTCCTCATAAACAATCCATTTCTCTTGGTTATATCCTTGAGCCAATAGCTGAGCCTTATTCCTTGTTATCACACCGTGTTCATCAAGTTAATTCCTAAATACACATCGTGTGCCTATAAGTTCATGATTTTGTGAAAAAGGGTCAAGGTCTCAAACATCATTTATTTCAAATTGATTCAATTCTTCTTGCATATCCATAACCCAATGCTCATCAAGTAAGACATCCTTAGCGTTTTTAGGTTCAACTTATGATACGTACGCGTGGTGATAACATAAATTACTTATCTTAGAGAAATTATTACCCCTTTGGTGAGGTCACCAATAGTGTTGTCGATTGGATAATCCTTGGAGGTTCTCCACTTCAATGGAAGACCATCTTCTTCTTGTTGGCTTTCATCATCCTTCTTTTCTTGATTTTCATCTACCTCCTTCTCAATCTCCATCACTTTAGGTTGATCAACTCCTTTTTTGGTGTCTTTGAGCATGTCTTCAATAGATGAACCTACACCATGAAAATAAATATCTTTATCAACACTATTTGGACAAGACTCGTCAAAAGTAACATGAACTGACTCTTCAACAATAAGTAATATCTTATTTTAAACTCTATATGCTTTACTAGATTACGAGTATCCAAGAAAGATACCTTCATCGGCTTTCACGTAAAATTTTCCAAGGTTATCCTTTCCATTATTTAAAACAAAATATTTACATCCAAAAACGTGAAGGTATGATAAATTTGGTTTTCTACCTTTTAAAAGTTCATAAGAAGCTTTGTCAAGAATATGACAAATAAGTATCCTATTCAAAACATAATATGTCGTGTTAATATCATCAGCCCAAAAATATTTAGGTTGACCACAATCATTGAGCATTGTTCTTGGCAAATCCTCTAAAACACAATTGCGCTCCACAACACCATCTTGTTATGGAGTTCTAGGAGCTGAAAAGTTATGTTCAACACTAAATTTATCATAATATTCTTCAAAGAGGTGGTTTTTAAATTCACCTTCATGATCGCTTTGAATGGAAACAATTTTAGAATTTAATTTATTTTGGGATAACTTGGCAAAACGTGTGAAATCCGTGAATGTTTCATCTTTTCTATGTAAGAAAATAGTCCAAAAAAATCTAGAGTAATCTTTTACAATTACAAAATCATAGTAGTTTCCACCTATGATTTTGGTTTGTCATAGTCTAGATAAATCCATGTGAAGGAGCTCAAGAGGTCTAGAAGTTGAAATAACATTTTTAAATTTAAAAGAGACTCTTATTTGTTTTCCCTCTTGACATGCACCACATATGTGATCTTTTGAAAACTTTATTTTAGGTAGATCAATTACTAAATCTTTCACAACTATTTTGTTAAGTAGATCAAAGTTGACATGTGTCAACCTTCTATGTCATAGCCATGAATCTTCACTCATGGTAACAAGACATTTGATATTACTCAAGGATACATCTCTTAAGTCTAGCGTATATATATTATTTACCCTCACACCATTAAACATACAATCCTTATTTTCATTATGTACTATCATCCAACAATCTTTTGCAAACATTACCTTATAACCATTATCACATAATTAACTAATGCTAAGAAGAATATGTCTAAGGCCTTCAACTAACATAAGATTTGAGATAGTAATAGTTGAGGGATTACATATACTACCTTTTCCAAATATTGCACCTTTGTTGTGATCACTTTAGGATACATAACCTTTCTTCTTCACCACGAAGTCAGAGAATAGAGAGATGTCTCTTGGCATGTGTCTTGAACATCCACTATCGAGAATCCACTTACTCGTCATAGTGTCAAGACACTCAACCTACAAAATCAAACAAAGGTGGTAAGTACCCAACTCTCATTGGGTCCTTGGGAGTGAGTAAAAGAATTATTGCATTTGGGCAACTATTGGAAAATATCTCTAGGAGCTAAGAAGCACCTAAATTTGCATTTTTAAATAGTATGGTCTTTCTTGCAACAATAGTGACAAAGCAACCTATGATGATGTTTACTTTTGCTATTTAAATCCTTCATTATCAAATTATACTTTTTATAAGGCTTTTCAACCTTTAAGGAATTAATAAAAAAAGTAACGCATGGGTGTGATGTCTTGTCCACTTTGGTTTCAAGAGTACTCACCTCTTGTTGCAAAATTTGAAAAGTTTCACAACCGAACCAACATGGTTCCTCATCCTCTTTTTTATGATTTTGACTATCTACAATATATCACTTTAATACTTCAAATTGCTTATTGATTTCTTCAACCTTTTCTTTCAAGTATGTAAAAACTTTTTCATTGGAAACTAATTTCTTATAAGCATGTAATACATATTTTTGTAGATTCTCAAAAGCATTTTTCAATTCAATAAAAGACAACTTATCAATGTTAAGAGTATTTATAATGACTTACATTCTTTTTATTATTTTAACGTTGATTGACCATAAAACAATAATTTTTCCTCTCATCATTATCACTTGAGCTTTCATTGCCCGAGAGATCACTATCACTCACTACAATAAAATAAAAAAAAGGATTAACGACACATAAATTGCGACGGTTGATCAAAAGCTGCCCTAATATCTTATCTGCAACCGTTTCCCCTTTTTATGGTTTAAATGAAGGAAATTCTATAGTATCCCTTTATCTATAACGTACAAGTCAAATTTCTTCTCCCATGACGGTTTCGAGAATCCACCTCACTCAAATTTCACGACCATTCTCCACCAGCCACCATGTTCCTATATACCAAATTTTCAATTCATGCGTATATGATTTCCAAACTATACCCTTTTCATTTTATTTTTCAGAATCATAAGCCCTTGTTCTTTTTCCATACATACTGAGACCATATTCCATTTTCCTAAAATTGCAAAACTTTCTTGTTCTATCCAATCTCAGATTCGATTCTTCTCGCACATCTAAAGTACAAAGGATCTCAGTGAAGGTATGTTTTACTGCATTTTTATTGCATTTCTCTCAAGATTTTGAATCAATTTGGGGATTTAGGGTTTATTCATTTTAATGCCCATGGGATCATTGTTTGATTATGTTTGTTTTGATTTTCGGATTTAGGTTTGTTCTTTTTATTTCCTAACTACTCATACTTCATATGTCAAATCCGTTGTTGAATATTATTGTGTAATAATTTAATGAAGAGACCCACTTGTATCTGTGACATGTAGAACAAAGAACATATTCTTGTTTTCCTTGATTGCTTCATTTAACATTCTTTTGTGAGGGCGTCAAAGGATATTTTGGATCTCATTAGCTTAAGCTTCCAAAATTGTGTGACATGGTTTATGATTAAACTTGATTGACAACTCAATTAAAAAAAATATAGTAATTTGAATGTTTCTCAATGACGATGATGTATCTTTTTAGTGTCGAACCACATGGATATTGGAAGTAGGTAGTGACAATTCTCAGCTTAAAAGAGCACAAATCATTGGAAAACATGATTCATTACAGTCCTTGATAGATTTGTATAGTTTGAAGTTATAGTAACATTTTTGGAGTTTAGTTTCTAATGGAAATTGTTTTGCTGCAGTTATGGCTCTTTCGTCTCTCATACAATCCTGGAAAAACAAACCGTTAAATTGGGTTGGTTCTGATCCCTGTGGAAGTGAATGGGATGGAATTTGTTGCGCCAATTCAAGAATCACCGAACTTTTAGTTCTTGGTTTCTTTGTTTCATTCAAATTGTTTTTTCTTTACTTTTGTAAAAATTAATTGAGTATGAAAATGGTGCTAATTTTTCTAGGAAATTACCGAGATTGAATTTGGAGGGTCAACTATCTTGAACAATTCAGTCCTTATCTGAACTTGATACACTGTAAATTTTCTACTCCTCATGTTTTTGTTATATGGTTATTTTTTGTTGCGATATTCGGTTGTAGCTAAACAAATAACATGTTTTTTGTTCGTATAGTGATCTTTCGTACAACGCATGCATAAGTTGAAGGAAAATATTCTGTGTACACTTGGAAATCTAGCCATCCTTGATTGGTTAGACCTTAATGATAACCAACTGGAAGGGTCTATTCCTGTCTCTGATGATCAAGGGCAACCAGGGCTTGACATGCTCCTCATGGCCCAACACTTGTATGTCTTTTTGCATTTTCAATTTCTACTTGATATTTCATCACTAATATTTCAATGATACGATGATTTTATCACTACTTGATATTTCATCACTACTATAAATCATGTATTATGATACAATGATTTTAATTTGCATATTGTGATATAAAAACTATTTACAGGGATCTGAGTGACAATAATTTTAATTTTTCTGATATTCCTTCATGGGTTTATGCTTCTAGTATGCCAGATCTGACGACAGTGTATGTTTCTCCATCCTTCCCACATTAGACTTGTTTCTAGCTGCTCTTTTTTAGAGCTTATTTGAAATTGTCTTATCATATAGTATCTAGTTAAGTAGTTTATGTTTTGAACTTATTTCAATAAGCTTTTCATGAAAATCAGCTTATGCATAGTTACTGAATATGTCTAACAGAATACTCAAGGACAACCAGCTCAGTGGCACATTAAATCTCAGCAGTGGCTACAGAAGAAGTCGACAACTCATTGATTTGCAAAACAATGGTATTACCGAACTCGAGTTGGGAAACCAAAAGTTGAATTTCGACTTAAGGTAAGCTTCATTATACATATGATATTGTTTTTTGCATGGACTCGAACTACGTTACACTGGTAAATTTTTATTGATGTTCAATATTTGTGACACACTCCGTATTAGAACTGCATGTATCATTTTGTTGGATCTGCTCCTTAGCAATGTTCCGTAGTTGCTCTTTAGAACTGTCTGACATTTGGTGTATGGTTTGTTGTGCAATTTTTAGTGACATTGGTTGTGCATACTCCGTTAAAATGTTCGATTTTTGTTCGTTAAGCTTCTTAGAACTGCTAGCATTTTTCGCATTTATTGATCTGTCTGATACGATACATTACGCTATATCAAAATTTGTAAAATTTGCTCCATATGATTGTGTGATGGGTTCTGATCCTACTGAATTTGTGTGAGTTGCTGCTCCTGTGTGTATACTTGTTGTGCCTTTGTACTTTCCTCAACCTTGTTATTGTCCTGTATTTGTCATAAAGCTATATTCCAATAAATTTAATTTTGATTTTGATTGGATTTTTATAATTATTCAGACAACTAAGGCAAGTGTTGTTCGTCAAATAACGGAGGCAAAGACGTTGTTATCATCATCAGAAGATAACTCTGAGGCATTAGCTATGATCATTGACGGGAAGTCTCTTGCTCATGCGTTAGAAGACGATGTAAAGAACTTGCGATTGTATGTCTGTATATTATATTTTTTCGTTCATCTCTGAAGCAAAAAGCACTTGTTACTAGACTGGTTAAAATGAGACCTGATAGCACAACTCTAGCTATTGGAGATGGAGAAAAAGATGTTGATGTTGGTATGCTACTAGAAGCGGATATTGAAGGTTTTAAACATGTATTTATGTTAAGTCAAGCATAAATGTTTTCTATGTAAAGAGATTTTGATTGAAAAAGTACTATACTCTTATTGAAAAAGTGAGTTTCAGTATTTCCATTGGATTGTGTTTCTAATTAGAATGTTCTTAAATTGTTTATTCCTATAAGGAACCACATCAAGCTTGTTGTCGAGTACAATGTTGTCTCAATTTTATACAATTTTCTTTTAATTTTACATATCAAGTAGCTGTGGAATTACTTGCGGATTTACCTTTGGAAATACCTGGGAATTTACCTTTGGATTTCTAGGAGTAACAAAAAAAATAAGAACTTTCACGGCGGTATTTAACCGTCGCGACATCTAGTTTAGGTCAGTTTCCACCGCCGTAAACTATAACTACGATTGGTGTGGCGGTTAAGGCAACCGTCGCAAAAAAACCTAGGGACACACATTTCTGCGATGGTACAACAACTGTCGTAGATTCCAAATTGCAGAGGTTTTAACCGTCGTAATCTGTCAAAATAACCGTCGCAGACTACCAATTTTCTTGTGGTCACTATTTCAAGCAACATAGATTTTTCTAGATTTCCTAGACTTGTTTTATTGGCTCTTTCCTTTATCATTAACAAGAGATGCACAGTTCAGTCTAAAATGATCCGGCTTTCCACATCCATAGCACATACTTCTTGTATTACCTTTTTTGTTGTCTTCATATTTAGAGGATGCAAATTGCTTTATAAATTTCATAAGATTTTTGTCGGGGTATTTGACACTATTCTTTCGAATGTATCGATTACATTTCCTTACAAATAATCCCCTTTATTCATCATCCTAATCTTCTTCGTCACAAAAATCATTATCATTAGTGTGCCCATCCTTTGAGGATCTTGAACTTGAAGCCCTAAGAGTTTTAGACTTCGTTCCTTCCTCCTTATCAGTGTCTTTCTCCTTTTTCTTCTTTTCTCAAGCTTCTTTTATTTTTTATCCAAGCAACTGAGGTCTTGCTCGTGTACTTCCAATTCTCCAAACAAAGTGGTGTGATCAAGTATTGCAAGATTATTGGCTTCCTTGACCGCTGTGATCTTTGGTTGCCAATTCCTAGTAAGACATATCAAAACTTTGTTATTAGAAATAACATTAGAAATAGGATTACCTAGAAAGTTTAAACGATTAATAAGATGTGAGAAACACTTTTGCATTTGAAAATTGGTTTCACCATGCTTCATGTGAAAGAGTTCAAACTCTTGATTAAGTGTATTAATCTTAGCTTGTTTGACCTCATTAGTTCCCTCATAGGTAACTTGTAGAGTTTGCCACATTGCCTTAGCAGTCTCACAATTAGAAATGTGATAAAACTCATCAACACCAAGAGCGGATATTATAATGTTTTTCGCTTTCCAATCACGTTCCCATTTCTTATTATTTTTCTTATTTCATAGTGCTTCTGGCTTAGGTGTGACAACACCATCAACACGATGTGTTATTGGTGTAGGACCATTTTGAATGACCTCCCACACACCTTTATCATATGAGTTAACATTAATTTACATACAAGATTTCTAATAACTATAATTTTCTTCCGTAATGATTGTGGCTCTTTTATAATCCCCTTTAGGTTCGTACGCCATTTTCTAATAAGAGTTTCTAAGCACAAAATTAACCAGGCTCTTGATGCCACTTGTTAGGCGGCGAAGAATTATCTAGAAGGGGTGAATAGATCACCAAGCCAACATATCAATTAAAATTGAGTTTTTAAAAAGTTTATTAAAAAGAGTGCAAGCAGAAGGTTTTTATACAGATTGATTAAAGTCGTCTATACGAACCTAGTTATTGGAACTCAGATATGTAATTTACCCTTATGGAATGAACAACACAATAATAAGAATTTATACACTTGAAATAAGTAACACAATATTATTCGTTTATAACAAGTTACTAACAATACTATTTCCAATGATAACAAGCAAAAATAACGAACTATACAATTTGTCAAACACTTGGTTTGCGAACGAATTTTTAGAATATTCTTTGAGTTGTGTTGATATGAAAAAGCACTTATAATCAACGTGATTATAAGCTAATCAACAACCAATTCAAAACAAAAACAATCACAAAAAATTTCTTACGAGTCAATCGATTAATCAATGCTATTTAACAAACGACTTAATGAAAAGTAAAGTAAGTATAGAGATAAGAGAGAGAGACATGAGGATTTATTTAGGAAGTTCACCAATCACCCTTGCTATGGCTACGTCTCTCCCCAATTCCGTTTCGAAATTAGGATAATTTCTTACTATGCAAAAAGTTAATTACAAGAGAAGTGTTCAAAGAGAAACCCTACAAACTCTAACCATTTATTGATTTAACCCCTTATCTTCTTTTAATCTTGAGCAAGACCAAGACACAATATCATACTAATTTATTTATCTAATCTTGCTACTCCTGTGGGTACCAAACTCCAAAGTTTATTCGCGCACGATCAATTTTACCTATTGAACCCAAGACCTTTCAATTTGATTTCTTGTTCTCTCGCTACTTCCTTGGGTACCAACTTCAAAGGCTTTTCACTTGGCCGCAATCCTCTTTTGAAAGTCTTGAACAAAACCTCCAAATCTACCAAAGATCTTGGAGGACAAACCCTAGGTTTTTCTGGATGAAACCCCCACAATTATCAACCCAATATTCTCAATTACACAAAAACCTAATTGGACGTTATCAAACTTCTCCTAGATGATACCTCAACAAAAGATGATTATGTGTGAGTTATCAGTGTGTATGTATAGGTTGGAGGTTGAAGGTGAAGAGAAATTATGGTAAGTGTTTAAAGTTTCATCAAGTTGGAATATTGCGTGAATAATGTATTTATAGTTGTGGAAGTTTATGTGCCAAGAGATAATTTTCTAAATTAAAAAGAATTGAAAAATTGAACCAATTAAATAGTATGTATCGGCCTGAAATATGTATGTTCTGACACATAAATAGTACCTATCGACCTGTTATATTAAACCTATAATATTCATCAATGTCATCACGTGTCGAATAGAACACCCAATGTATCACCTCGGCGATGATCTCTCAACCAACCTTAACAACACAGAAGTCAACAGTGCTCGCTTGCATCGGAGATCTCTCAGAGCGACACAAACAACACAGAGGCATTAATCATAGACACCTTAGGTGAATAACAATGCTAAATCTATCTCTAGAATTCATACACTATTAGATAATCATCCTAGATAAGAATCTAAGCAATATATGTCTATAGCAACTCAAATCCCTAGCACAGAGCAAAAAACAAGGATAACCGGCAAAGATTTGTAAAGCAAGTTTTATATAATGCCAAGGGCCACAAATATACATTAGATCAAAGTAAATACATGTACAAACCCAACCAATAGAGAATACACAGAAAAAGAGAAATGGACCACATATCTACCAGTTTGTCAGCATCGGTCGAAGAGAAATCCACCCCGGATCATCCATAGGCAAGCTCCATAGTTGTTATTTAAGCTAATCCTAACAAAATTGGAGGTTGATGGAGTTGGGAGCAAAAACTTCCCCAAAACCATAACCAAACAAATGAAGGAAATAAAGTTATAAAATAAATCTCAGCAGACCGCACTAAGCGGGCCTAGCGCGTTAAGCAGAAGTTCTTTATTTTACACATCAAATCGATCTAAATCGCGCTAAGAGAAATATCCACGCTAAGCGGGCTTCAACAATGCTTATGCCAAAATGTCAAAACGCAAGCAACGCACTACAAAATTCTCTGAGCACACTCATGCTTAGCGGCCTTTTGCGCGCTAAGCGAGCTCTCCTATGCAGAACTTCCCAAAACTGGTCTTTTATTACGAAAATGCGCATCCAGAGTCGTGCCTTCAACACCTTATTCCTCAATGCTCCAAAATGCAACAAATACCTACGAAATGAATGGAAAAACCTCAAATGGTACACTATGTAAAAAAAACATAAATAAATACAAACTAAACGTATTTACATAAAAGTCAGGTTTATTCAATGATATTAACAACAAAGAGTCGATAAGTGCAACAAAAAGTATATAAAAAAATAACTACAATTTGCACTTATCAATAGCGCTTTCCCAAAAGGCTTTGGATTTTATACTAATTATTAATACGAGTCTAGAATTAATGGGAAAAAGTTTACTGCGCAAGAAGAGCTCCTCCCCCTAGATCTTTGCTTAGGAAAAAAAGTCGAGTAGTCATAATTCAAAAAAAAAATGAAGGTGGGGCTGGGCAGTAACACTGATATCTCATAGAGGAGGCATTTTTATCACAGGCTCTTTTTTATATATGGATTTAGGTGGTTTTTTTATGCAAGACGAGTGAAATGGGAAAAGAAAGATGGAGGTTGACCTGCTTTATGACAAATGTAGAGCTGGATTTTTCAATCCAGCTGGAACATTGTGGGGAAAATTATTAACAAAGCTATCCTTGAATTCTTCTCTTCCTTCAATCCCACAGCCAACTGATTATCTTCAATGTGAATGTGCCATTTTATCAGGAAAATTTGAAGCAATCACTTTTCCCTCTTTAGTGATAGTTTAATCTTACTAGTTGAGCGTTTTCTCGGTCTTTTTGGATTAAAGTTCATTTTAGCCTTACCTAAACTGGCATAAAAATGTGACAATTGATCATTTTCTCTGTCTTTTTGGCATAATCTAAATTAGGAGTGGAGATAAGCTAGGCTAGGCTAAGATTTATAAGGGTTGAGTCTG